TAACCTGGCTTGGATAACCAGGCTTTGATAACCAGGCTGTTACAACTAGGCTGGGATAACATGGCTGGGATAACACGGCTGTGATAACCAAGCTGGAATAGTAAGGCTGGGATAACAAGGCTGTTAAATCCAAGCCTGGGATAACCTGGCTGTAATAACCAGGCTGGGATAACTGGATGGGATAACCAGGCAGTGATAACTAGGCTGGGATAACTAGGCTGGGATAACCAGGCTGGGAAAAACAGGCTGGGATAACCTGATTGGGATAACATAGCTGGGATAAGTAGGCTTGGATAGCCAGGCTGGGATAAGTAGGCTTGGATAACCAGTCTGGGATAACCTGGTTGAAATAACCAGGTTTTTAGTGGAAGGCGGGAATAACCAGTCTGGGATAACCAGGCTGGGATAACCTAGCTGAGATAACCTGGTTGGGATAGCAAGACTGGTACAACCAGACTGGGATAACCAGTCAGGGATAACCAGGCTAGGATGACCAGGCTGGGATAACCTAGCTAGGATTACCAGGCTGGGATAGCAGGACTGAGATAACCTGGCTGGGATAAGCAGGCTTTGATAACTTGGCTGGGATAACCAGGCTGGGATAATAAGGTTGTGGTAACCAGACTGGGATAACCTGGCTTGGATAACACGCTGGGATAGCAAGACTGGGATAACCAGGCTGGGATAAACAGGCTGGGATAACGTGATTTGGATAACAAACCTGGGATAAGTAGGTTGGGATTACCAGGTTGGGATAACCAGGCTGGGAGAACCATGCTGGGATAACCTGGCTGGGATAACCAGGCTGGAATATCATGATTGGGATAACAAGGCTGGGATAATCAGGCTGGGATAACCTGGCTGGGATAACCAAGATGGGGTAACAAGGCTGCGATAACAAGGCTGGGGTAACCTGGCTGGGATAAACACGGTGGGATAACCTGATTAGGATAACACACCTGGGATAAGTAGGCTTGGATATCCAGGTTGGGAAATCATGGCTGGGATAACCAGGCTGGGTTAACAAAGCTGTAATACCCAGCCTGGGATAACCTGGCTGGGAAAACAAGGCTAGGATAACCTGGCTGGGATACCAAGCTAGGATAACTTTATTGGGATAACAAGGCTGCGATTGGTAGGCTGGGATAACCCGCCTGGGATAACAAGGCTCGGATAACGAGACTGTTATAACCAAGCTGGAATAATCAGGCTGGGAAAAGAAGGCTGGGATAACCAGGCTGGGATATCCCGACCGGGATAACAAGGCTGGGATAAGCAGCCTGTTATAACAAGGCTGGGATAACCAGGCTGGGATAACCAGGTTAGAAGAACAAGGCTTGGATAACCAGGCTGGGACAACCAGGCTGGGAAAACTAGGTTAGGATAACCAGGCTGGGACAAGCCAGCTCGGATAACATGGCTGGGATAGCCATACTAGGATAAATAGGCTCGGTTAACCAGGCTGGGATAACAAGGCTTGGATAATCATGCTGTGGATAACCAGGCTAGGATAACCAGGCTGGGGTGCCTAGGCTGGTATAACAAGGGTGGGATAACAAGGCTCGGATAACCAGGCTGGGATACCAAAGGCTGGTATAATCAGGCTGGGATATCCAGACCGTGAGAACAAGGCTGGAATATGCAGACTGAGATAACATGGCTGGGATAATAAGGATGGGATAACCAAGTTAGGATAACAAGGGTTGGTATATTCAGGCTGGGACAACCAAGCTGGAATAACTAGGTTAGAATAACTAAGCTGCGATAACCCGGTTGGGATAACCAGGCTGGGATAATCAGGCTGGGTTAAAAAGGCTGGGATAACAAGGCTTGGACAAACAGTCTGGGATAACCCAGGCTAAGATAACCCCCTCTGGAATGCCCAGGCTGGAATAACAAGTCTGGGATAAGAAGGCTAGGATAAACAGGCTGGGATAACCAGGCTAGGATAACCAGGCTAGGATAACCATGTTTGGATGACGTGGCTGTGATACCCAGAGCAGAGATAACTGGCCTGGGATAAACAGGCTGGGATAATCGGGTTTGGATAACAAGGCTGGGATAACCAGGCTGGGATGACAAGGATGGGCTAACCAGGTTGAGATAACCAGGTCGGGATAATCTTGCTGGGTAACAAGCTTGGGATAATTAGGCTGGGATAACCAGGCTGGGATAACCTGGCGGGGAAAACCGGGTTGGGATAGCATTGCTGGGATAATCAGGCTGGGATAACGAAGCTGAGATAACCAGGCTGAGATAACCAGGCTGGGATAACCTGGATGGGATGACCTGGCTGTGATAGCAAGACTGGGATAACCAGAATGGGATAACCAGGCTAGGATTACCAGGCTGGGATACCCTGGCTGGGATAACAAGGCTGGAATAGCAAGGCTGGGTAACCAGGTTGGGATAACCTGGCTGGGATAACCAGGCTGGGATAGCAAGGCTGGGATAACCAGGCTGGGATAACTTGGCTGAGATAAACTGGCTGGGATAGCAAGGCTGGGATAACCTCGGTGAGATAACCAGGCTGTGATAGCAAGAATTGGATAACCAGGCTGGGATAACCAGGCTTGGATAGCAAGCCTGGGATAACCAGGCTAGGATAACCAGGCTGGGATAACCTGGCTTAGATAACCTGGTTGGAATAACC